ACTACTACTACTACCTTTACAACTACTATTGCTACTCTCACTACTACGACTACCACCAATACTACTACTACTGTTACGCTCACTACTTCTACTACTACCACTACCACTATTACTACTACTACTACTCCCACGACTCCTGCAACTACGGCTACAACGGCTACTCCTACGACTACTACAACTACGACTAAAACGCCTACCCCGACTACTACTACTACTACGACTACTGGTACGACGCCTACCACAACTACGGCGACGACTACATATATGACTACGGTTACTACTACAACTGCGACTACCACTAGTACTACGAATACTACTAATACTACTACTACTACTACTACTACTACTACTACTACTACCACCACGAGTACTACTACTACTACTACGACTGTGACTACGAGTACTACTACTACTAGTACTGCTACTACTACTACTACTACTACTACTACTACGGCTACGACTACGACTACGACTACGACTACGGCTACTACTGGTAGTACTACTACCCCTGCTACTACTACTACTACTACTACTACGGCTACTACTACGACGACGACTACCACTACTTTTACAACTACTACCACTACTTCTACTACTAGTACTACTACGACTACTACTACTACGACTACAACTACTATTGCTAGTACTGCTACTACCACCATGACTACGACTAGTATTAATACTGCGACCCCTACGACTGCTACGACTACTACTACTACTACTACTACTACTACAAGGACTCTTCGACTACTAAAACTGCGACTGCAACGACCCTGCGACTACTGCTACTACTACTACTACTACTACGAGCACGACGACTGCGACTACTGCGACTACTACTACTACTACTACCACGACTCCACGGGATATAACGGCGACGACGTCGACTACAAATACTACTACGGATACTAGTACAACTTCATCTTCTTCTACCGCTACTTGTACGATCACGACGACGACTACAACTACTACTACTACTACTAGGACTACTACTACTTCCTTTACTACCACTACTACTGTTACTACTACCACTACTACTACTACTACTACTACTACCACTACTACTACTACTACTACTACTACTACTACTACTACGACTACTGGTATCACTACTACTTCCACTACTACTGCTACTGCTACTACTACTACTACTACTGTACTAATACTACTACTACTACTACCACTACTACCTTTACTACCACTACTACTGTTACTACTACCACTACTACTACTACTACTACTACTACCACTACTACTACTACTACTACTACTACTACTACGACTACTGGACTCACTACTACTTCCACTACTACTGCTACTGCTACTACTACTACTACTACTATTACTACTACGACTACTACTACTACTACTACTACTACTACTACTACTACCTCTACCTCTCCTGCTACTACTACTACGAGTACTACGGCTACTACGATAACTACAACTATTACTACTACTCCTGCTTCTGTGGTTCCAGGTACTACCACTACGACTACGACTACTACTACTACTACTACTTCTACTACTACTACTACTATTACTACAGCTACTACTACTACTACTGCGACTGCTACTTCTACGTCTACGGCTCCTACTACTACTACTACTACTACTACTACTACTGCTACTACTAGTACTACTACGATCCACTACTACTACGACGGCTACAACTACTACGACTACTACTACTACTACTCCTACTGCTACTACTGCTACTGCTACGACTACGTACTTTACTAGGGCTACGGCTGATACTACTACAATTACTACGATTACTACTATTACTACCACAACGACTGCTAGTATTACCACCACCACTACTACTGCGACTGCGAATACAAAAGATATGTGTAGGACTACCACGACTACGGATACGACTACGACTACGGCTGCTGCTACTACTACTACGATTTCTAGTATTACTACCACTACTACCACGACTACTCCCACTACCACTACCTCAACTTCTACTACTACGACGAAACCTACGTCTTCCGATACTACCAATATTACCAATACGATCAGTACGACAACTACTACAACGACTACTGGAATTATTACTACTACCGCTACTGCTACTACTACTACTACTACTACTACTACTACTACTACCACGACGACTTCTACCTTACCACGATTACGACTACTACTCCTATCAATAAAAGCACCATCGCTACAACGACTACTACTACTACTACTACTACGACTACTACTACTAGTACTAGTACTTCTACGACTGCTACGGCTACTGCCACGACTGATACCACTACCACTACGACTACGACCACCGGTACTACTACTACGACCACAACAAATACGACTACGACTACTATTTCTACTCCTACTACTACTACTACGATTACTACTACTACTACTACTACAACAACTACTACTACTACTACTACTACTACTACTACTACTGCTACTACTACTACTACTACTACTACTACTACGACTACTACTACTACTACTACTACTACTACTACTACTACTACTA